TTTTGTTACTCCTAAGGAAACCCTGTATATCTTAGCTACCACCTCCCAATTCCCCTATTCTTCACTTTCTCTCCCAGACCTAAGCAACTTGTGGTGCACTATAGCTTGGCCTATTCTAGGCGTTCCATATAAATGGAATCATACAGCATGTGGTCTTCAGTGACTGTCCTTTTTTCATTCAGCAAAATTCCTTCAAGGTCATATATATTGTAGCACAATCATTTCTTTACTCCTTTTATGTCCAAATAGTATCCCATTGTATGGATATACAAGTTTTGTTTGCTCATTTGTCAGCTGATGGGTGCTTGGATTGTTTCACTTTTTGTCTCATATAAATGCTGCTGTGAAAATTCATATACAAATTTTTGTGTGGACTTAAGTTTTCATTTCTCTTGGGAGAATTCCTGGGAGCAGAATTTTTTGGGTCTTACACTAACTCTCTTTTTAAGGAACTGAAAGATTATTTTCAACACTGGCTGGGCCATTTTATAGTTCTATCAGCAGTATATGAGAGTTCATGTTCTGCATATTCTCACCGATACTTACCCTGTAGTTGACTGATTATTGCCTTTCTAATGAGTATAAAGTAGTATCTCATTGTAGTTTTGGTTTCCTTCTTCTGTAATGATTAATAATGTTGAACATCTTTTTAAATATATTTTTTTAATTAGGAGAACTGATATTGCCTTGCCAATGATCTTTGACTACATTTGTTAAGGTGAAAGCCAGATTTTACTGGGTTGAAGAGTGAGTGGGAAGGAAGGACATGAATGATGCTTCTTTAGGAAGTAGGGGTTAAAGGGTATACATTTTGGGGTGATTGACGTTGCAGACAGACTTGCTGCAAACTTGTGTTTTGTGGACTGATGAAGTCATGGCCCTGGACTGTCATTTCTCTGATTGGCAGCAAGGTCATCTTAGATACACTATGTCATCCTTTTTGTGCCTACTTGATCCAGTTAGCTAGGGGAACTGGATGCTAAGTCTGGAGGCAGGCAGGTTCTTAGCTTGACCAGCTGGTATTTGATCATTATTGGTCTGAGGCCTCTCCATTAATCAGAAGCGTTTACTGATGATCATCTCTTAAGTCTTTTTATGACACCAAGACTATAACAACGACTGTCCTAGATCTTCCTGTTGTCCTTCTGTTACTGTGGGAGATCGGGAGGTTGAACAGTCTTAAATTCTGTCTTCCTAATAGGAATCACAGGGATGAATTCTAATGTGATTCTCTGTGTGTGCTGCATGAATGCCGATAGTTTATTTCACACTCTACATTCCATAAAAGAAAAGAACATTCTTTTCTTTCTTCTATAGTCACTTAAAATCTTGGCTCTCTAGTGCTCTGAATTCCTGACAGCTAAGGATTTGCACTCTAAATTTTCATCTCTCCAAGCTAGTATAATTTCACTGAGTTTCACTGGGTTTCTTGGCCATCTATTTGCCTCTCAAGTGCACCATTTGGTGCACTTTCCAAGGCAAAGGTTTAGAAGCCTTCCATATGTTAATAAAGCCCTTGTCTAGTATCTGCCCTTGGCCTTTCCGTGACTTAAACACTGTAATGTTGAGCGGTTTCTTCAGCAGGACTAACTGAGGAAGTGGAGTGGGACTTCCAGTTTGAAAGTTGAGGGTAATTCTTACCTGGAATTTAGAGTTCTGCCCTAAAATACTCAAAGTCACCAGAAGGCTTTTTTTTTTTTTTGTAGAACACCTGATTTACTTGCCCTGGGACAATCCCTTCATTGGGTGACTAATGAATGGGTCATTGAAAAGGAAGTAGAGCCACTTCCTGAGAAGCTGGCAGCAGCATCTGGTTCTAGTTTTCAAGGTATCACACCCCTGAGGATGGGTTTCCATCTTGCTCATTGTTTAGTCCCCAGGGCCTGAGGGCAGCAAGTGCTCAGTATGTCCTAAAACACATGGAGAAAGGAAAGAGGGAAGGTCCTGTTCAGCTAGCCACCATTTAGAAGAGAAGAATACAGTGCCATAGTGTCCTGCTCAACTTCATTTAGTCGACAGAGATTTTATTATGCCCTGTAGTTCCTGACTTATGATAGTTTGAGTTTAGAATGATGCAAATATATACATCAGCACAGTGTACAATAAATTATATTAGATATTCAACACTCATTTTAAAATGGGCTTTGTATTACGTGATTTTGGCCAACTAAGGCTAATGTACAACTGTAGGCTAAGGTCTGAAAATGATTAAGAGAGGCTAGGCTAAACTGTGATGTTTGATAAGGTTAGGTATATTAAATGCAGTTTCTATTTTATGGTATTTTTAACTCATGGGTTTCTTAGGATGTAATCAGTTAAGTGGAGGAGCATCTGTGTATGTGTATGTGAAGGGTTCCTTAAACAATGACATGGGATCACACTGTATTAGCTTGGTATCACTGTGACAAAATGGTTCATGGTGATGAATAGCTCAGTGTATAGCATGCAACTTATAAGGAGAAAAGGTTCATTTTGGCTTGCAGATTAGAAGTTTCGTATTTTGGTCCATTGCTTTGGCAGTACACCATGGCGGGACCGTGAGACTGAGGACTCCTATTCACCTCTCGGTGACTGGAAAGCAAAAAAGGAGGGAAAGGGGCTAGAGTTCCGGTATCTTCTTGAAGGTCATACCCCTAATGACCTAACCTCCTCCCACTTGACTTCATCTCCCAAAGACTTCGCCACCTCCCAATAATGCCACTGGCTGGGGAACCAAGCTTCCAATGCATGAACCTTTGGGAGACATTCAGACCTAAACTATAGCACCCATAGAGAAACTGGTGAACCATCCAAAGTGGACAGTGTTTTACGACTGAAGAGTAGGAAAGCACTGTAGGCTAGAGCAATGGGGAATATGGTCTAAAACAGGGGGAGTGGAGGTGGGGCTTGGAGAATGGGCTGGGTTTGGATTGGCAGTGTGATAGAGTAGACCAGGAGCAGAGTAGAAGGAGCAGCTTGACCGGAGCTGGGAACCACCTGAAGGAGGATGTGCAAAGTTCATGGTGGTGAAATAGCTCAGTATATAGCATGCAGCTTATAAAGTAGTACAACGTGGAGTTTGGGCTTTATCAAATTGTTACTGTACATTCCACAGTGATGAAATGCATGCACCTAGAGTCCAACTGCCTAGATCAGGGGCTCTGAAATTCATCCTGTGTCAGAATCACCTAATCTGAATCACCAGAATCACCTAGGCTGCCCTGCCCACCTCCAGAGTTGCTGATTCAGTAGGTTTGAGGTGGGGCCTGAGAATTTGCATTTCTCAGTGGTGATCCAGCTGCTGCTGAATTAAGGACCACTGGTCTAGAATTCAGATGCCTGCAAACCTTTTCTGTTAAGTGCCAGATAGTAAAGATTTTAGGCTTTGTGGGCTACATAGGGTCTACGTTATATGTTCTTTTTTGCTTTTCATATCCCTTTTGTGGAATGGTGCACACCATTTTTTGGCTTTACACAAACAGGCTGGTGGGGGAGCACAGACAAGGTGGGGTGTGGTTTATTGACCCCTGGGCCATCCCCAGATTATTCCTCCCCTACCACCTAGCTGGCTGAACTTTGCCAAGTGATCTCCCTGTGCCTTTATTTTCTCATCTCATTTGTTTCTTAGCATATAGAACTTTTATGAGGGGTTGATTAATTGAACAACTGAAAACCATTTGTCACAGTGCTGGGGAAATTGGTAGAATTTTTTTTAGCATTTACTGTTATTACTGTTGGGAGTACCAACTACCCATTGCTCTGTTGCTGTGTGAAGGGAAGGTAGTAAGTCCTGCTACATTGCAGATTGAAAGCTAATTGCTTCAGAATCCTGCTACCCTCTCCTCTTAGGTTGCTTGCAAAGAACCTTTGAACTAAAACATGCACTCTCTGAAATACATCCTGGCTCAAACCCTCACCAGGGGATCATTGACCAGTCTCTCCCTTGAGTAGTGCTTTTGTCAGCTGGCTTCCTGGGCCCATGACTTTGACTAAAGAGGCACATAACTGGGCATACCCATAGCCCATTTGCAACCTATGCTCAGGCCCCATTTGCTGAGAAGCCCTGACTGAGAGCATTATCCTTGTTTGTGCTGTTACCAATGAGATCTGGCTATCTTAGCACTGAAAGTCTGTCTTTTAACTTTTCATTTGCCTCATTATGGGAGTGAAAGTGAGAACCATAGAGAAGCAGACAGCTGGGTGCTTTGTGTTTCCTGTGCTGCAGGTTGCAAGCGAGCAATGAGGTACAGCTTTCACTCAAGATGGCTGGGACCAGGGGTTGGGGGCAAACCTCAGTGGTAGAGTTGGTGCTTAGCATTCCCAAAGCCCTGGGTTTGTTCACCAGCACCAACAAAAGAATAAATAAAAAAGCTGGACCAGAAAAGACCACTGGTTGTACCTCTGTCATCTCTTGTGCTGATACATGGGGAGGCCACCTGGTGGTCTCTAGAGAGTGATCTCATCTCTAAACAGTAATAGTGAGAGCTCACTGGCTTAAATAAGATGAGGGCCCTCTTCCCCTTCCTTGTCAACCCCTGAGGGGGCATCTGTTTTCTTACTCACCTCCCCAGCTGCATGCTCTAATCCTTGCCCACGGCACATAATGATGACTTTGTAAACTCAAGTTACAGATGCACAGAGTGCCCAGTGGTGATATGACTCCACCCTCTGCTTGGGTTTTTGCTGACCTGCAGTGAAATCTCCTTCCATCTCCTCTCTACTTTGCAAAACAAGCTTCCTGTTTTGAACTAGGTCCAGACGGGAACAGCCCAACTACACCTGTTAACACACTCAGACACACTTCCCCCTCTGAATTTGTACAGCTTCTCGTCACCTCACCAGATTTCTCCTCCCAGCTTCCAGATCCCGAATCACACATAATCTGTGATCGTGAACTAGCAAATTAAGAAAAGCTGGAAATTGACATTTGTTTTAGAGCAACCTGAGTGACATGCTCGCTTCTCGTTGATTTTGCTGTGTTTTGCCATAGCCACTTTGCTAACTTTTCTCCTCCTTCCCAGCAGAATGGAAGCAAGGAAAGAAAATCAGCTGACGCAGGAGCCGGAGTGAGACTGATGGACTCTCAGTCCCAGCCTACATCATGAATTTGACTCTACCTTCTGTGTGCTGAGAGCCAAGGGCAGGTGAAGTTGCTGGAGAGCAATGGCTCTCTTTACTCCTTGGAAGTTGTCCTCTCAGAAGCTGGGCTTTTTCCTGGTGACTTGTGGCTTCATTTGGGGGATGATGCTTCTGCATTTTACCATTCAGCAGCGAACTCAGCCTGAAAGCAGCTCCATGCTGCGGGAGCAGATCCTAGACCTCAGCAAAAGGTACATCAAGGCACTGGCAGAAGAAAACAGGAATGTGGTGGATGGGCCATATGCTGGCGTCATGACAGCTTACGGTAAGCACAGTTTCCTGTGGGCCTCTCCATCAGCTTTGAAAGGACCTTGGGAGGCTCCCAGACTTGGACTTCCCGTGGACTGAATATCCCTTACCACTGCCTGCATGGACTGCAGATTGCACAGACAGGGTCACTTTCAGAAAGGCAAAGCAGCAGCCTTTAGGGGATTCTGAACACTTGTAGACACGGACTCCCACCTAGGTGCTATGGTTGGTATACTGAGGCACTCTGTGGGTCATATTCGCAGCTGGCTGGTACGACTTCAGCACAGTTCTGGACTCCATGGTCTCTTGTGGGAGTATTTTTGGGGAATGCTGGAAAACATTCTCATTCTCTATCCTTAAACAAAATTAATTAAGAATGGTGGGGGTGACGTGAGGAGGGAGAGTGGGGAGAGATTCCATTTTTTTTGGGGGGGGGGTGGGGTGTCAATAAACTTGTAACCAAGCAGGTGACTCCCTTCAGCCACTAACCAGGACATGGGAGCCAACGTGTTGTCTAGTAGTTTTAACCTTTGGCTGCCCAGACTTAACTGCACTTAGTTCTTATTCTTGTCTCTAATAACACTTACTTAGATTGAAATCTTGTTCTACTTTCTTTAGGTGTCTTCAATCCTTTTTGAAATGATAGAGTATAAAAAATACACACATGGAACATATTTTTTCTTTTAGCAAAGTTATGCTTAATATAGAAAAAGTTGGAAGCTGTAGACAAGCAAAAAGAGAATATCATACATAAGCGTACCACTCTAGGCAGTGCACACAAAGAACATTTCTTTCTGTGTATGTCTTTCTGATAGGTTTTTATATATATGCAAAAATGTGTATAGATAAGTTCTTACAAAATGAAAATTGCAAATGAAATTTGGATCATGCTGAGTCTTAGAGAATTTACATCCTAACTGTGTTTGGTCACTGAGTATCCAGAGAGATGTGTAGAGGACAACTTTTTCTCATTTTCATTGAATCAAGGCTTGAGTGATCTCAGTGTTTAGGACTTGTAACAGATGAGATGGAATGATAGGGTTGGATGAGGTAGAGGAAAGTTGGTGTTCTGCTTTGTGACCTTGTCAAGGAACATGCGCTCCTGTGTGTGGAGTTGAAATAATATCTACTGAAAATGGGCAGCTGTAGGCTCAGTCCAGTCTAGCTTGAGTTCACATCCAGGAAGTCATACTCAATTATACATATACTTTTTCTCTTTAAAAGAATTCAGAAAACTTGGTTCTATTATATATATATATATATATATATATATATATATATGTATGTATATATATATGTATGTATGTATATATATGTATATTATATATTTTTTATTATATATATAATTATATGTATTTGTAAGGAGAAGGTGTTTACTTTTGAGGAACAGAAGTGTTTACTATGTGAACGATCACAGTATTTGCTTTTAATGTATTCTTTCAAGATTTGCCACTGTCTATGGTAGGCATTGGCTCTTAATATTTCTAAACAAAGTACCTTTTTTGATATGATGGATTAAGACAATGAGTTTCCATTTTGAGCGCCCATGCTGAAGAACAACTAGTCAAAATTATGCATTGACTTAGATCTTCTGAAACATTTCCAGAGTAGTAAAAGTAACCATCAGAGAAAAAAGAATAAAGCAGATCACCACGACTGGTGTTGCCAATGTGTGTGATGTGACAAGTAAAAGATGCTTTTTTAAAGTTTTTGGTTCTGTGTATTCCTTATTATACCTTTGGGAGAAAGGGGAATAACTAGCTACAATTTCCTGTTATTTTTCAGTCTGTCAAACCCATTCCTGGGCAGGAAGAACCACACAAGTGGCACATTGATAAACTTTTAATTTAACTAGTTATTTTTGCTGTTTTTATTCTTATATACTGCTAAAGATCTCAGGGGGATGGCTTTCTCCACATTGTAAAGAATACCTGGTCTTTTCAATCTTACAGAGATTTTTTTTAAAAACTAACCAAAACCCCACAATAGTCTGTTAGACTTTCAGCCACTTTTCATGCTTGTAGACATAGGGCTTTGTGTCTCAAAGAAACTGTAAGGATTATTTATTCCAGCCTGCTTCTTTTGTAGTGAATTTTAGCAAAGCAATTCATCTTTTACTTCACACAAACAGTCAAACAGGCCTCGTGGCATCACGCCAGCTTACCATGTAAATGAAAGTGGTCTTTGGAGCTGAGTTTGTGGAGTGTGATTGGAGTATGTGTGTGCTTGAGGTATCTGGGATCATCCTGTGGTGAGATGCCACTAAGATAGGTTTCTCGCCTGGTGCTATTAACATTTAGGGCCACATAATTATTTTTGGAGGGAGGATATTAGTGCAGAGTAATTTTTTTTTATTTAAACACAAAACGCCAGTAACATCTTCTGTGTGACAATCAAAAATATCTCCAGACTAGCTGGGCATGGTGTCTCATGCTTGTAATCCTTGGTACTCAGGAGGCAGAGATCAGGAGGATAGCGGTTCGAAGCCAGCCTGGGCAGGCTGCAGGACCCTATCTTCGAAAAATCCCTCCACCAAAAAGTGAGTTCAAAACCCTGTACTGAAAAAAAAAAAAAAAAAAAAAAAAACCTCTAGATTTGAGAAGATAGTTGTCCCTTTCGCTCCTACCTTGGAGAACCCCTACACTAAGAGTAGCAACAGCAAACACTGTCTAACCCTAGCTGCTTAGGATGTTCTAAAGCAGATTACTGGATTTTGTTGTTTCACATTTGGTAGCCTTGTTTTCTTTTTGGCTTCCTGTTCTAGGCAACAATAACTTGGGTTGAGTGAGAGGATTGGTTGGTCTGGGGGCCAGTTCTGGGAAACTGGAGAACCACCTGATGATGTGGGGCTTCCCCTGGAATCAGTGTAACATTGAGAGTCAGGTAGCTCTGGCTGCTGACATCAGATGAGATGCGGAGACTATAGGATGTTCAGTGGTTTAGCTGAGCTGGTAGAGCAGTAGGATATGTGGACAATCACTTTGCAGTCTCTTGACTGCCACAAACACAGCCCATGTGCAATGCACTTGTCTACCTTGAAAGAATGAAAAGCTGACCCTGTATGGCTGGGATCTGTTACTAACTTGAATGGATGCCCTTAATAGATTTAAAAACAAAACAAAGCAAAAAGCTCTTATTCTCCCATTCCCATATCGGTATAATTGGAAGCTGTCAGTATGTTATAAATGAATCTTTTGCATCTGTGGCAGGTGTTTGATGCATGGTAGTCAGTGATTTTAGATGATCACTGCTTTACTAGAATCCCTGGATTCAGCCGCAGGGTTCAGCAAAATATGGTCTCTGAGTTAAATTTAGATCACTTCTTGTTTGTGTAAATAAAGTTTTATTGGTACACAATCATTTCTATTTGTTTACAACAAATGCAATAACCAAAACATGGTACCACCAGTATCTCACAAAACATCTGAAACATTTTGAATCCATCATTCAGGAGTCACCATAGGTCATCCTTAACACTCATCTCATAGTGGTAGTTATTGACCCAACAATTTCCCCAAACTGTCTTGGTCTAAGGCTGAGTCAGCAAACTTTAACCTGTGAACCAAATCCTCCTTGCTACCTGTTTTTCTAAAGAAAGTTTATTAGGACATAGGCACACACATCTTTTTGTGTATTAGTTGCCATGGAGATCATAGAGCCTAAAATACTCAAGTGTTCCTTTACTGAAAATGTTTTGCCAATCCCTGGCCCAGGTAGTCTCTAGGTGAGTCCTTCTACCCGCAGGTGTGTTTTGGTGTCCCAAGTCTGTTTCCTCCCTGTGTTTGGATTCCCTGAAGACACCTTCCTCATAATGCATCTTTCTTCTGGAAATGCTGCTCCTAGGAACAAGTTGAGTGTTGTGTGGTTAGATGGGCAGTTTGGAGCCAGACAATGTGGCCTTGCTACATCCTGTCTGCATGTCCTGGATCTAGAGGCACAAACTATTTCCAAAGTGAGTTGTCAGTACCTCTCTCGCCAGGGTCTGAAGCTTCAGTGAGGTGCTGTGTCAGGTGCATGGTATGTGCTTGTTGGTTGGTAGTCGGATTAGTACTCAAATAACACTACAGATGACCTCGCCTTCAAATTGTTCCCATTACAATGATACAAAAGCATACCTGTATGACCTTTATGTTTTTGCACTTCTAGTGCAGTGTTCCATAAACAACACGAGATAATCAACACCTTATTATAAAACTGGCTTTATGTGAGCTGTTTGTTCCCAACTGTATACTAATGTAAGTATTCTGAACACATTTCAGATGGGTTAGGCTAAGCTATGATGTGATGTTGCTAGGTCAGATATATTACATGCATTTCGCCTTGAATGGCATGTCTATTGGGACGCAGCCCCATCCTAAGTCCACCAGCTTCTGTAGAAGAAACTTTCAAAAACATCTTGCCCTCACCCCCACCCATCCTTGTTTTGATGATTTAAAAAAAAAAATAGGCCACAGGGTTGGTGCTGTGTTTCAAGTGTCGTGTGCCTGCCTGGCAATCGTGAGGCCCTGAGTTCAAACCCCAGCACCACCACACCATACCACAAAAAAAAAAGGCCATAGACAAGGAGGAACCAAGCAGCAGACAAGTGAGGTTTGGGGTGGGAGCTGGAGGAGCATAAGTGCTCACAGTGGTGTTAGCCTGAGCTGGTGATCTGTGGAGAACACAGTGTTCCAGTGCCCAGAGAGAAAGCAGGTGGCACACATCAGGATTAAGAGGCCAAACCTTGTCTGGCCTCAGGTTTCCATTAAGGTTCCTAAGAATTAATAAACATGAGAATGTCAGGAGAATGAAGAGAGACTTCTTAACTTCTTTCAGGACTTGGTGATTCAGAAGTGCTACCTGGAAGGTCTCGGCAGACCGTGGAACAGTCAGAGCATCCTTCCTTGGGGTGCAGAGGTGTGTCTGTTTTTCTGTCGGTTTGAAGAGGATGTGTTGACTTCTGTCTCCCAACCATATGTGGAGCTGGAGCCCTCCTCAATTCAGATTCATCTGCACGGCCATGCCTATCAGGACCTC